TGTAACCATGTGTTGAATGAATTATTAAGCTTTTGATAATTGACTTCGTTCTTGGTTGAACAATTTTTTTTCACCCAGGCTGGAATGCAGTGGTGCAATCTTGGCTCACTGCAACCTCTGCCTCCTGGGCTCAAGCGATTCTCCTGCCTCAGCCTCCCAAGTATCTGGGATTACAGGCAATTTACACCACACCCGGCTAATTTTTGTATTTTTTAGTAAAGATAGGACTTCCCCATGTTGGCCAGGCTGGTCTCAAACTCCTAACCTCAAGTGATCTGCCTGCCTTGGCCTCCCAAAGTGCTGGGATTACAGGGGTAAACCACCACACTGGCAGAAGAAGGGATTCTTGATGGCTCTCTCACCAACATTCTTAACAACCACAGAGGAGGAAAACTTTCTGAAAGTCATGTGTTCACACCAAGCTGTCCCTGAACTTCCAGTTGAATCAAAGTTCTAAAGGCAAAGTCCTCATCAACTCTTGGGATTCATTCAGCATCACTTTAACGACTAAAAGAAAATTAGTTGGCAAGGTTTGTTGTTTTTAGTAATTTTTTTTTTCTCTAAGGTGTTTGAAAAATATCCATTCTTGAAGTTTTTATCAATTGATACATGGTTTTTCCTATGACACAAAAGAATGCTAGGATAGGGCCGGGCACAGTGGCTCACTCCTGTAATCCCAGCACTTTGAGAGGCCGAGGTGGGTGGATCACAAGGTCAAGAGATCGAGACCATCCTGGTCAACATGGTGAAACCCCGTCTCTACTAAAAATACAAAAATTAGCTGGGCATGGTGGCACGTGCCTGTAATCCCAGCTACTCAGGAGGCTGAGGCAGGAGAATTGCCTGAACCCAGGAGGCAGAGGTTGCGGTGAGCCGAGATCGTGCCATTGCACTCCAGCCTGGGTAACAAGAAGGAAACTCCATCTCAAAAAAGAAAAAAAAGAATGCTAGGATTAAAAAAAAAAAAATGCCAGCAAGTAAATAACAACGGCTTTGGGGCAGAAGATTATGTTTTTTGAAAATGTACTGTCTCTTTGATATCATATAGAGGATACAATGAAACAGATCATGAAGCACAGCTAAAATGTTATACATGAAATCCTGGCGATGGTCAGATGAAGGTGGAGGTGATGGGAAGGAAGAAGAAGAAAATCATGTGAGAAAAACTGAGAAGCAAAACTATGTTTTTAGTTCTAACAGTTAGTCCAAATAATGGCTATTGAAAATAAAATCGGCTGGGCGCGGTGGCTCAAGCCTGTAATCCCAGCACTTTGGGAGGCCGAGGCGGGTGGATCACAAGGTCAAGAGATCGAGACCATCCTGGTCAACATGGTGAAACCCCATCTCTACTAAAAAATAAACAAAAAATGAGCTGGGCATGATGGCGCGTGCCTGTAATCCCAGCTACTCAGGAGGCTGAGGGAGGAGAATTGCCTGAACCCAGGAGGCGGAGGTTGCCGTGAGCTGAGATTGCGCCACTGCACTCCAGCCTGGGTAACAAGAGCGAAACTCCGTCTCAAAAAAGAAAGAAAGAAAGAAAGAAAATAAAATCAAAATTTTGTATTGTGTTTTAGAATTATCTAAGTCATTCATTTATTTTCCTTGAAAACAACTTTTTCCCATGGGCATTGCTTTAATCAGTTTCCTAATTCTGAAAGAGTACATGTGGCCTTTTATTTGACTTGTGTTCATTAGAACTAAACCAATGTGGTCATGGTCGGCAAAATCTACCTTTGATAGCAAACGTAATGTCTAGGTTTTAATAAACAAATGTAGTTTTCTACAACCAACGTTTTAACAATTGTAGTTTGCTACTATGAATATTCATCTTAAAGTATCAAGTCAAAAGTCCCTGGACTAATAAGATAACCTTGCAGTATTACAGGGAAACACTTAGCAATTGACCAGAACCAAAAATATAGATGGCAAGATACAGAATAAGTTTAGGTTTAACTCACATTTTATGATAAGTGGTTTAGAGATTTTTCTCATTCTCTCTTTAGCTACACAAACACTTATTGTTGGGAATACCTGCATTTTCTCACTTGTGCTCCAAATTGGACATTGTGGCTTCCAGTTTCAATTCAATTTTAATAAAGGTCAAATTAAAGATATGTGGGGATCATTTTTAATTCTACACCTGATATAAGGTTTTAAGAAAAGAAATTAGTTGAAGAAACTTAGTGTCTGGCATTAATTAAATCATTAAGTATTTGTTGAGTAGCTGCTAGGTGCTAAGCATTGTTCTAAGTGCCAGGAATACAGCAGAAATCCCTGGAGTTTACATTCCAGTGGAGGGGGAGAGGGGACTGGTGATCACCAAAATAAATGAGTAGATAAGTAAAAATTAGAAGATGCAGTTACTATGGAAGAACTAAAGCAGAGAAGATAGTACGTGCTAAGAGAAGAGGAGATTGCAGTTGTAAATATGATGGTCAGGTGAGCCTCTCTGAGAAGGTGACAGTTAAGCAACGCCTTTTAGGAAGAAAGAGAGGATGTTACTACCGCACTCAAATATCAACAGGTGAAAAGGTTTCCAGGCAGAGAAAACAGTGCAAAATGCTTTGAAGCAAAAGCTTGTCTGGCATCTATGGAACTGTGCTGTCTGAGATAGTAGCCATGAGCCACATGTGGCTATCTGAATTTATGTTGGACTTAAGTCAAATTTAAAATTCCATTGTTCAGTGTGCACTCGCCATATTTCAAGTCAATAGTCACCACATTGGACAATGCAAATATAGAACCTGTCCATAATCATATAAAGTTATATTGGTCAGCAGGCTCTAAGAAGAGCAAGAAGGCTGATACTGCTGGAGAGGGCTAAGCAAGAGAGAGAGTAACAGATAAAGTTAAAGGGGCACAATTGTGTAGGACTTTGAAGGTCACTGTAAGAGCTTTGGCTTTTTCTGAAGTTTGGAGTGTCTTGCAAAAAGAGTAACTTGATAACTTGATATGACTTGACATTTAGAAAAGTCTCTTTAGGTTGTTATTTTTGTAATGATCCAGGTGAAAGAAGATCAAGGATGGAGAAAGGTGGCAGTGGGGGTGGTGAAAAATGTTCAGATTCTGTATGAACTTTGAAGTTAGAACCAACAGATTATGATGGTGAAAGGGAGTATAGTATAGAACAATGAAGATTAGTTAGAAAAGAGGCCTGTGGTTGGGGCATGAGAGAGGCTCAATTCCATTTTGTACAGATTTGACTTTGAGATGACAATAGCATTCACTATTGAAAGATGTCCAATGTGTAGTTGGAAAAGTGAGAGCTCAGATGAGAACACGTCTCATAGAAATAAGATTCATCAACATACATGTAAGAGATGAAGCAGGAGTAGAGGAGAAGAATACAGGTGTCAACATTCCAGTGTGATAAAGATGCCAGCCAACTCAAGAGAAATGATGGAGCCTGGGGAATGGCCACAAGGTATGAAAAACACTGGTGGTTGTGAGTGAAGCCTCTATTGTAGAGAGATGAAGGGAGCTGCTGGATGAAAATGGTTTTAACAAGAGTAGAGAATGGGATGTTCTCAAGACAGAAAAATGTAATAAACTAAGGCACTTTTCGTCATTTACAGGGGGGTTCTAAAATTATACTTTATTAGTTCCAGAGGAATACTAGTGTTATTTGTAAACATTGTGACAAACAACAAGGTGGTTTTTTTTTTAATTCAGACGTTAGGCCACTGGGGGGGAAGTGATACTGTATATGTGTTAGGATTTCTTATGCTCAATCTCCTGAGACTAGATAACGGATACTTTTTAAATTAACGGGAAGAACCCAAGTCTTTTGTGATAAAGATGTCATTTTAACTCTCCAGAATTCTAATGGAGAAGGAATAGTCCGTGCTGGTTCTTCAAAAGGAAGCAAAGAGATTGAACAGGAAGCACTAGAAAGGAAGGCTAAGGAGAAAGCTGTAGCCGTTCTTTGAGCTCCCCACCTCTTCAGCAGCCCTGGATAAAGGGTGAATAGGGAAACCCAAGGACCTCATGACAGGTAGGATCTCAGAAACAAGCAATCTAGACTCAAAAACTTGAAATCTGAACAGGAAATTTACATATCATCTAGACCAATCTCTGCTGTTTCACAGATGAAGTATTGAGACCCAGAGAAGTAAAATAATTTGACCCTGTCATTCAGCTAGTTCTATGCAGATCTAAAAGTAGAAACAAGGGGGGATAATTCCCGGTCCACAGTTCTTTTTGCCTGACAGCTCCTTACTATATGAGAAGGGAAATCCCTATTTAAGACGTACTGAACGAATGTAAAGCAAATTCAACACTCAGAGTTCTATTTTGGGGAGGGGGGAATTTTTGGGGAGCCGGGGTGGGGGTAGGGATTAATGAGATTTGAAAAGTGCTCATGGGTTTGGTGACAGAATATTGGTTTCTCACAAATGCCTGGGCAAAAGGCCTGAATCCGCCCTGGTGTTGGAACTGTGCCTCAATTGCCAGGCCCCCCCAGCACACAACTGAAAACCTCAACTTTAACAAGTGTCCGTTTCGCTGACTTCCGGGTAAATAACCCCTGGGTGTGACTTTATACAAATCCATTCTGGTACAACCGTGGGCAGGAGAGGGTTGTAGTAAAAAAAAATAATTCGGGGTTGGAGAAGGAGGTGGTGTGGACTGCGCTGGTGAGGACTATGGGAAAGAGGGGCCTGCGCCACCAGACCAGCCGCTACTGCACCGCTGACCTGTTGCTAGGGCGCCGGCGTCCTTAGTTACCACTAATTAGAAGCACTCTCTAGTATCCGCCGCCTAGTGTTGCGCTTCGCCTGCCGCCCCACCCCCGCGTCGCCCGGCGCAGCTCGGAGACCAGGGCACCTGCACACGTGTCCTTCTTTGCCCCGCGATCCCGGTCAAAGGCTGAGGACCGGATTAGGAATCACAACCGCGGCTTTGCAAAGCGGCCAGCGACTCCAGCCCTAAGAAATCACCTCCGAGGGCTGTGCGGGAACCTACCGGAGGGCGAGCCCCGGGGGTTTTTCACCCAGACTCACGTTGTACTCCTTCAGCCAGCAGTCTACCTTTTCCTGCAATGTTCGTAAAGCTTCGTTCGAGACCAGTCTCTTCAGGTTTTCCGCCATCGCTCACTGTTCCGCTCGACCCCTAGGAAAAGGAGACTTGGGGGGACCAGGCGGTGGCCTCCGCAGGACGGTGGGATGATATGACGGGAAGGGTGTTCTCTTCCGCAGGGGCTCAGAGCGTGGCAGGTGTTTCCATCTTCCCCCTTGGGTCGGACCTGGCCGATTCGGGAAGCCGGGCCGACCCGCCCGGTCTCCTGGCTCCCTAGCCGCCGCCCCAGCCGGGCCATAAATACCCTGGCGATTATTAAACAAACCTTGACGTGGATGGGTTGGCTGCCAGGGACGCGCTCGGCCCGCGTCGTGGCAACGCCCGCGCCGCCCCGCCCTCACTGCTCCCCCAAGCCCCCGCCGCCAGGCCGCCCTCCCTGCTTGAGCGCGCCATGACGCTGCTCCTGCTGCTGCTGCTGCTCTTCCTCCTCCTACTGCTGCTGCTGCTGCTGGCCGAGGGCGAGGGCGCCAAAGTCACTGAGACTCGGCGCTGGGTCAGGGGCTGGAGAGCGCCGAGACTTCAGATGACAGCTGCGCGCCCCCTGGGTGGGCTGAGACACGCCGTCGCGCGGGCTGGAGGGCAGCAGGGCGCCTACAGCATTCTTCCCTAGCCAGGGCTCTGGGTGCCAACGCGTGTTCAGAAAAGCAGAAGTTAAGTCTCCATAGAAGTTTGGGGCTAGGCTTTCAGAAGCACAACTCTGGCGTCTTTATTCTTCCGCCTTTCATTCCTTAAATTCTTCATTTGTAGCGTCTAGGGTTTACCTGTATGCAACTTGTATCTAAAATTTCAATACTTCCTGCTTCTAGTTTTTGCTTTGTTCCCTGACCCACTGGGAGCGTACCCGAGTCAATAGATGTTCCAGGATGTTCACAAATTAAAGTTAATCCCTCAGGTTGGATAAGATTTGGCAGTATATATTTTAGTATTTTTTTTAGAGTCATTGAAGCTCTAAAGCTTCATTGAATTCTGAATTCTCTAATTGGGACTTTGTGATCTGGTTTGGCACTATTTTAAAAGTGTACATTCTGCTACAGGAATAGATTCAACTACTTAGGAAATGAACCATTTCGACCATCATTAAGCACTTTCAAAGCAAGCCCTTTTATATACCATCAAAAACAATGGGCTGATTATAAATCATCCCTTTGTGTTCATTAAAACAGCGGTGGTGGAGCAGAACCTCAGCTGGTTGGCAAGCTAGTTTAACTTAGTTTCATCTCTGTAGGGACTTGAAAATCTTTGAACACTGTATATATTCAAGTATTGTAAAATCAATAATTTTCACCAGCTCTTTTTTATTTATTTTAATTACAGTGGCTTTACTACCTGCTAATGAAAATGAAAGGCTCATTTTTGGAGCCTGTGTTCCTATTATTCTCTGTAGACCACAAAATAAGGACTTATAAGGGTATAACATATTATTTGATCAGAGTAGAATAATAATTACTAGTGTTAAAAATACTCCCTCAAAAAACAACTATTCATTAGACAACTTCATATAGATATATATATTGAATTGAGAAAAACCTCAAATTTCTCAATTTGGACCTAATAATTACATATTTCAATAGGCAATGGGAATCTTTGAACAGTGTCATTTACTTTTTCATAAAAAAACAAATTGGAACATTTGTTTCTGTCAGATAAATTAGAGGTAAACTATTTTTCCTTGCTGTGAGAATGTTAATTAGCCTCTAATCCTTGGTTTCATCATTTGTAAAAGGAAAATAATTCTTCTTTCATAGGATTATGATGAAACTTAAGATAATTCATGTAAAGTATTTAGCACAATGTTTGGTATATGCTGTAGTAATTGCTCCAGTAATTGCTGTTTATTAAATATAAACTAATGACCTACATCCACTATTATTAGGAATGTAGATTAGTATTAGTTTATATTTAATAAAGAAAACTAGTTGTAAACAATCGAAATCTCCAACAATAGAGTAATAGTTGAGCAAACCATTCAATGAAATGTTGCACAATAAAAAGCTTGTTATTGTAGAGTATCTACTATCTAGTAATTTTCACTATATAATGTTAAATGAAAAAGGCAGAACACTAAATTGTATATACTGTGTTAAATTATACAATGTGAATCCAAGGTATAATTATGGGTTATTTTAATTGCTCTTTTATATTTTTCTAATTTTTTCAAATTTCTACCATGACCATGAATTGTTTCTATGAAAACTTATTCAGAAAAAGTTACCAAAAACAGTTACTAATATGGTTTGGCTGAGTCCCTGCCCAAATCTCATCTTGGATTCCTACGTGTTGTGGGAAGGATCCAGTGAGAGGTAACTGAATCATGGAGTCAGGTCATTCCCTTGCTGTTCTCATGATATTAAGTCTCACAAGATCTGACGGTTTTTTAAAAAGGGGATTTTCCCTGAACAAGCTCCTCTTTGCCTGCTGATATCCACATAAGATGTGACTTGCTCCTCCCTGCCTTCCATCATGATTGTGAGGTCTCCCCAGCCATGTGGAACTATAAGTCCATTAAACCTCTTTCTTTTGTAAATTGCCCAGTCTCAGGTATGTCTTTATCAGCAGCATGTAAACTGATGAATACAGTAAACTGGTACCAGGAGTGGGGTGCTACTGAAAAGATACCCAAAAATGTGAAAGTGCTTTAGAAACTGAGTAACTTTCTGGAACTGAGTAACAGGCAGAGGTTAGAACAGTTTGGATGGCTCAAAGGAAGACAGGAACATGTGGGAAAGTTTGGAACTCCCTAGAGTCTTGTCAAATAGCTTTGACCAAAATGCTGATAATGATATGGACAATAAAATCCAGGCTGAGGTGGTCTCAGATGGACATGACCAACTTGTTGGGAAATGGAGCAAAGAGACTGGTAGCATTTTGCCCCTGCCCTAGAGATTTGTGAAACTTTGAACTTAAAAGAGATGATTTAGGGTATCTGGCAGAAATTTCTAAGTAGCAAAACATTCAAGAGGTGACTTGGGTACCATTAAAGCCATTGTGTTTTATAAGGTAAGCAGAGCATAAAGGTTCAGAAAATATGCAGCCTGACAATGCGATAGAAAAGAAAATCCCATTTTCTGAGGAGAAATTCAAGTGGCTACAGAAATTTGCATAAGTAACAAGGAGCCAAATATAATCCCCAAGAAAATGGGGACAATATTTCCAGGGTGTGTCAGAGGTCTTCATGGCAGACCTTCCCATCACAGGTCTGGAGGCCTAGGAGGAAACAGTGGTTTCAAGGGCCAGTCCCAGGGTCTCTGTGCTTTGTGCAGCCTAGGGACTTGGTGACTGTGTCCCAGCCACTCCAGGCATGTCTGAAAAGGGCCAATGTAGAGCTCTGGCCATGGCTTTAAAGGGTGCAAGCCTCAAGCTTTGGCAGCTTTCATGTGGTATTGAGACTGCAAATGCACAGAAGTCAAGAATTGAGATTTGGGAAACTCTGCCTAGATTTCAGAAGATGTATGGAAACACCTGGATGCCCAGGCAAAAGTTTGCTGCAGGGATGGGGCCCTCATGGAGAACCTCTGCTAAGGCAGTGCAGAAGAGAAATGTGGGGTGGGAATCCCCACACAGAGTCCCTACTGGGGTGCTGCCTAGCAGAGTTGTAGGAAGCCTCTGTCCTCCAGACCTCAAAATGGTAGATCCACTGACAACCTGCACTATGTGCCTGGAAAAGCTGCAGACACTCAACACTCGCCTGTGAAGGCAGTCAGGAGGGAGGCTATACTCTGCAAACCACAGAGGCAGAGCTGCCCAGGACCATGGGAACCCACCTCTTGCATCAGCATGACCTGGATATGAGACATGAAGTCAAAGGAGATCATTTCGGGGCTTTAAGATTTGACTGGCCAGGTGCAGTGGCTCATGCCTATCATCCCTGCACTTTGGGAGGCTAAGGCAGGCAGATTACCAGAGGTCAGGAGTTCAAGACCAGCTTGGCCAACATGGCAAAACCCCATCTCTACTAAAAATGCAAAAATTAGCTGGGCTTGGTGGCAGGCATCTGTAATCTCAGCTACTCAGGAGGCTGAGGCAGCAGAATCACTTGAACCTGGGAGTTGGAGGATCCAGTGAGCCAAGACCATACCACTGTTCTCCAGCCTAGGCAACAGACCAAGACTCTGTCTCAAAAAAAAATTTTTTTAATAAGATTTGACTGTCCCACTGGATTTCAGACTTGAATGAGGCCTGTAGCCCCTTTGTTTTGGTCAATTTTTCCCATTTGGAATGGCTGTATTTACCCAATGCCTGTACCCCCTAATATCTAGGAAGTAACTAACTTGCTTTTGATTTTAAAGGGTCACAGGTGAAAGGGACTTGCCTTCTCTAGGATGACTGGACTTTGGACTGTGGACTTTTGAGTTAATGCTGGAATGTGTTAAGACTTTGGGGGACTATTGCAAAGGCATCATTGGTTTTGAAATGTGAGGACATGTGATTTGGGAGGGGTCAGGGGTGGAATGATATGGTTTGGCTGTATTCTCACCAAAACCTCATCTTGTATTCCCACATGTTGTGGGAGGGACCCAATTGAATCATGGAGGCAGGTTTTTCCATGCTGTTCTCATGATAGTGAATAAGTCTCCCAAGAGCTAGAGCTGGTGGTTTCATAAAAGAAAGGGAAGTTTTCCTGCACAAGCTCTCTCTTTGCCTGCTGCCATCTATGTAAGATGTGCCTTGCTCCTCCTTACCTTCTGCCAGGATTATGAAGCCTCCCCAGCCATGTGGAACTGCAAGTCCATTAAACCTCTCACTTTTGTAAATTGCCCAGTCTCAGGTATGTCTGTATCAGCAGCATGAAAATGGACTAATAGTTACCCAAAAATTTTACCACCCTCAGAAAGAAAAATGTTAGCCAAAATACCAATATTTAAGCAGCTCCCTCAAAACATAACATGCTTTGACTAAATGTCCGTATTGCTCATTTAATAGACTTATAGTGTCTTAAGATGGAATGGATCTTTAAAATCACTTTAGCATATGCTACCTGATATTATTTATCTCTACATATGCCCCAGCTCCATGATTAGATTCAAGACCTTTAGGACCTGCAGTTATTTCACGTACATCTTGGCTTCTCTAGAATTCAAGAGATGTGTTGTATATAGCAGGAACATGTGTTCATTGTAAGAAGCATAGATCTTCTTCTTGATGATCAAAATCAAGAAAACGTTTCACATGTTTATTCATTATTTACCCTTCCTACCCCATTACTTCCAAAAAAGTATCTGAGATGGCTTATAGTAAGAGACATAAAAATACTGTCAGATTAGTAATATTTTTTAGAGGAAAAAGCAAATATGCCCAAAATGTATGCCCATGTACTAACTAACAACCTCATTTT